GTAGCTCCAGCGAATCACACGGTGACGGAGGAGGTGAGGATGGACTCGATGATGCATCGAGTCCATCCTGCACCAACATCTGTGCAGGAAGCTTGGCTTTCCTGAGCTGCCGCAGGAAGTACATCCTCTGCTGGGCCTTCTTGATGAGGGAGCTGATGGTCGGCTCCCACATGAGGTCCTGGGTGATGGTGGTGCCCAGGAAACGGAAGGACTCCACAGAGGTGATGGGGGAGTCCATCAGGGAGGGTGGGGGCGGGGGGACAGTGCTCTTCCTGAAGTCCACAATCATCTCCACTGTCTTCTAGGCGTTCAGCTCCAGGTTGTATATAAATAAAGATTACTTACTTACTTACTTGTTACCACTGCAGCAGGACACCAGCCAGTCCACCTCCCTCCTGTAGGCGGACTCATCGTTGTTGGAGATGAGACCAATAAGGGTGTCGTAGGCGAACTTGATCAGCTTCACGGAGTCGTGGCTGGAGGTGCAGTGGTTGGTGTACAGGGAGAAGAGCAGGGGAGAAAGAACACAGCCCTGTGGGGCTCCTGTATTTATAATCCGAGAGTCCGAGACATTCTTCCCCAGACGCACTCGCTGCTTCCTGTCCGTCAGGAAGTCAGTGATCCACCTACAGGTGGAATCGGGCACGTTGAGCTGGGAGAGCTTGTCCTGGAGCAGGGATGGCAGGATTGTGTTGAAGGCAGAGCTGAAGTCCACGAACAGGACCCTGGCGTAGGTCCCCGGGGAGTCCAGGTGCTGTAGGATGTGGTGGAGGGCCAGGTTAATGGCGTCGTCTACAGATCTGTTGGCTCTGTAGGCGAACTGCAGGGGGTCCAGGAGGGGGGAGGTGAGGGACTTGAGATGGGAGAGAACCAGGCGTTCAAATGACTTCATGACGACAGACGTAAGTGCTACAGGTCTGTAGTCATTGAGTCCTGTGATCCTGGGCTTCTTCGGGACGGGCACAATGATGGAGGATTTGAAGCAGGCCGGGACATGGCAGGACTGCAGAGAGGAGTTGAAAATGTCAGTGAACACAGGAGTAAGCTCACTGGGGCAATGTCTCAGAGTGGCCAGAGACACGTGGTCCGGGCCAGGAGCTTTGCGGGGGTGCAGCCTCAAGAAGAGTTGTTTGATGTCTTTAGAGGCTATTGTTAGGCTGGGGGCAGGGCTGATGGGTGGGTCGTTAGAGTAGTGGGGGGTGGGGGAGGTGTTAGGGGCATTTCTGTTCAGGAAAGAACTGCTTTCAGTTCTTTCCTGAACTGATATTTAGCTGCTTTGTAGCCGCTGCGGTCCCCCTCCCTGAAAGCAGACTCCTTTGCTTTCCTGAGCTGCCGGAGTTTAGCAGTGAACCAGGGTTTGTCATTGTTATATATGACCCTGGTCCTTGCTGGAATGATGCTATCCTCACAGAAGTGAATGTATGACGTCACAGGGTCCGTATATTCATCCAAACTATCTGTGGCAGCTCTGAAAAGGTCCCAGTCTGTAGATTCCATGCATGCGCGCAGCTCTTCCACAGCTTCATCAGACCACACTTTGGAGCTCCTCACTGCAGGTTTCGAGAGCTTTAGTCTCTGTCTGTAAGCAGGAACCAGATGTATCATGGAGTGATCTGAGAAGCCGAGGGTGGCTTGGGAACAGCGCGAAAAGCTCCGCGCACGGTGGTGTAACAGTGATCCAGAGTGTTCTCCTCTCTGGTCGGGCATTTGATAAACTGTCTGTATTTGGTTAATTCCTGGCTCAAGTTTCCCTTATTAAAATCCCCCAGGATAATAATCAGAGAGTCCGGGTATAAGCGTTCCATACACAGTACTTGCTCTGCGAGTGCGCGCTGAGCCTCGCGCGCGTCCGCGTATGGCGGTATGTAAACAGAGGCAAGAATGAATGAAACAATTTCACGAGGGGAGTAAAATGGTTTACAATGAATGAAAAGATATTCCAGAGCAGGAGAGCAGTGCTTGGAGATCACTGTCACATCGTTACCAGTTTATATTGACGTAGAAACAGAGCCCTCCGCCTCTGCTCTTCCCTGAGAGTGCACAATGGCGATCCGCGCGGAACAGCCCAAAACCCTGCAGCTCCAGAGCGCAGTCCGGGATCCGCTCATTTAGCCAGGTCTCAGTGAAGCAGAGGACACAGGATGTGATTGATTGTGTTTTATTATATTTATACAAAGGAAGCATTTGGTTTTGATTTTGTTTCAACTGCAATTCAGAATGAAAGAAAGCACTCTCACCAGACCATCAAGGAACACTACGCTGTGAGTTTCAGTTTTGAAATGGCCTTTGCTTCTCTTTAAACCAGTCTCCATTGTGGTTGGCTCATACGCAGCAGCATACAACACAATACAATATACTGCAAAAATACTAATTTATTTCCAAAAACAAAATTCAACTGAATTTAAAAAGGAGCTGGGGACAAAGAAGAACCAAGGAACAAACACACAATGAACTGACAACAAAAGGGGACGAGCAGAGGGAATGTATCTGGGAGACACAGGTGAGACACATAAGAACAGGAAGAGAAACTCAAAAAGACAAAGAGAAGAGATAATACAAAATAAAACAAGAACTAAAAATTACAACAATGACACATTTTGAGCCAGGTCGACCAGCGCAGGAGTTTGGCAGGATCCAGATGACACTTTTGAAACTTTCTCAGTGATTTCCCTGGATTTAGTTTTATTTTTTAGTCCTGCTTTTTGGGTTTCTTATATCATTTCACCTCATGAGACATAATAATAATATTGTACAAACATTTAGGTAGTTTAAATTTGTGTGACAAGCCAATAATTTGCAGCCAGGACACTAGACATTCAACAATAATTAAGGAAATTGGTCATCTCCCCCTTATGGACCAATCACTCTATGTGTTTTTTTTTATCTCTGCATTTCTTGTGTTTGAACTGTTTGGTTCTCAGATCTGTGTTGGCGAATCGATGATTTTGTAAAGTCGTCCGAGATGACTACTGTAGTGATTTAGGGCAATACAAGGCAATGATATCCAATTTTCTCTAAAGGAAGCATACTATTTTTTTAAGCCTATTACAACATAACCTGGCAAGAGCCAGATTGATGATTGTGTAAAACTCTAATGCGTTCTCCACAATATCAATCTGGGACTTCTGCAGGAGAATCCTTTCGGGGAAAGGAGGGATAAGCAGCAGAATACTTCAAGCTGATTGGGCAAAGTGACGCTGTGTGCCCGCCTACCAAGGTTTGACTTAAACCAATCCCGGTAACATCTTTGCCGTCCAGAAATGCACAAAGCGCCTCTCGCTGTTCATCTTTCAAAAAAGAAATTGGAGATTCTGCTAAAATTGACTTGATAGCCTCAGCTACGCGTCCGTCCTCCTGGCTAGCCATGTTTGTTTCTTGCTTTCGTCAAACCCAGATATCCCGCCCTAAACCCCCAGACGCGTGATTGGCTTGAACACCTAGATGTTCTACTCGAAAAGGGTTGGCGGGAGCGGGGCAAGATGTATTCTCGAGTGTTTGTGAACTCACAAATACTGCGAGAATTCAGCTTGCAGGCAAGGTTAATTACAACATTGCTCCTCATCAAAAACAAAAACAAAAATTCAGATCTAAAAGTATGTCATTTTACCACTACCATTATTTTAGGCAATTTCTCATGTGAAATAAAACTTTTTACTGTCATTTTCAAAGTTTGAAAAAAACCTAATGAGACCTGATTCACCATGTATTCCCTACTGAATATATTATTTCACATTCAAAGTAAATAGTCAAGTTATATACTCAAGGGTCTGTAATGTGATGAAACCAATAAAAAAGTGGGTTATGAAAAATGCAGGAATGAAAACAAAATGTAACTTCATAGAAATAAATTCAAGGTAACGATAAAACACAAAATTCCAGAACTGAAAAAAAAAAAGCCAGGAACAAACGTGGTAAAGACAATAGACGGATCCGCCAAGTGGGGAAAGGCACAGGGAATAAATACACAAAGGGACAAGTGGGGAACCGCACATGGAAAAAAATACACTCAGAGAGACACAGGTAAATCACATCAGGGCGGAGCAAACAATCAACAGGAGACAGGAAGCAAACTAAAACTACAAGAGAACAAATTTAGTCAAACAAAACCGGGTCAAAATAATCAAAAAGTCTACACCAGCCTATAAAATGTTTCTTCTTTAAAGAAGCAATACTATACAATACAATACAATTTATTCTTGTATAGCCCTAAATCACAACAGAAGTCATCTCAGAGGACTTAACAAAACCATTGAAATCACCAACACAGATCAGAGAGTCAACAGTTAAAACACATAAAGAATATAGAACACATGTTGATAAATGTCCATACATGTTGTAGAATGTTAAAGTGTCCTGGATCATCACCACATCCTTCTAGTTGGACACTAACTGCCCAACAGACCCTCCTGCATCAGCAAGGAAAAACTCATAAGAAAACCCAGTGGGAAAAAGTGAGAAACCTCGGGGACACACATAGTTTAAGAAAGGGATCTGCTCCCACGGACAGAATGTAAAAAATATGGCCAAAAGTGGGACTGCGCTCTCCCTGACTCAGGTTGCCAGATATGCAGATGAATCCAGCTGGGACCATAATCTCTGAATAAAGAGTTTTGTCAACAACAAATCTATAACCATGACCTTTTTCACAAAGATAGAAATCCATGTTTTAATCATTGTTTTGTCAATAATGATTTGAGAATCATCACGAGACCTTTTTTAGTCCTGCGGCCACATTACACTTTACCAGTGAGAGTAGCTCGAGTTCTGGCAACCTGGATCACAGACTTTCTGATTGGTAAAACCATGGAGGGCGGGACATTGAAATGAAAACAATAACAAGATTTAGGGGCCGTGAAACTAATTTTGAAATCCAAATATCACACCTGAACTACTGTTATCAGTTAAAGAAGTATTTGGAAAGAGCATGGTTTGTTAATGCCTTTTGACAGATTAGGGCCATTTAATGATAACTTTACATATTACGACTTTAAATCGCACCCATGACTTTGTCGACGACTCACTACACCGTCGGCCACCTCTGCAGGAAAGAACAGTCTACCCCAGCATGTTTACTCCCCAAAGCTTTCCCCAACTTAAACACGCAGCAGAGAATCCCCGACATGATTGACTGGTCAGAGTGGCTTACAGGCTTATAATTGCTGAACTGACAATTGTGCAGTGACTTGGCTGCGTGGCGGGCGGCCTATTCTCAAATCACATTTTCTCTAAAAGGTCAGTATGGGCTCGTGCGGCAGAGGAAATCTCATGGCACTAAATCAATCCTAACAATAACATTACGGCTCGTGACTGATCACCTCCCAGCGCTGCATTTTTCTTGTTTATTGGCCAACATTAGTCCGTGCGCCTCCTCAGCCGCACAGCCCTGGTAAACATGTCACTCTGGGAGGCAGATATGGTCATATGTTAAATGACAAACCCGCAAAACCATCACTCAATATAATTATGTTGGTAATTAACATTCTATTTGTCTTGTGTGAAAGTCATTTGCAGTTAAAGCGAGATTCAGGCGCGGCAGTTTCATCCTCGGGCGTTTCCTTGCAGTGAAGCCGTGTACTTTTCTGTCCCTATAATGGCTATGGATTTTCATTTTTCAGATGCTCTTGGAAACTGGGGGGGCAGAGGGAAGAGGAGAGTCCCCCAGGGCTGAGTAACAACCTCCGCCAGCATCCTCGGCGCATAATTGAACAAATTAGCCATGAACAGCTGTTACCTGTTAAAATGACCTGCTTTGGTTTTATGGCCACGGACAAGAGGTCTGATAGCATCTGTACGCTACAGCTGTCAGCCATTCTGATTAGCTGCCCATCCCTGCTCCGCTTCATCATGACAAACACAATTACCTCCACGTCTCTCATTATGGATCCTACAAATCGCACAACGCGAGTACGTGTCGATAAATTAGTCCGCGGTGCGTGCGGCCGGAGCGCGGACTCCACTTTGCTGACTCCGCTTTGGTTTCTCTGGAGGATTTTGTTTCACTTTTATCGCTGCATCTATGACAGTTTGCTTGTTGATTCTGTGACTGTGTGGTGCGGCGAGAGAGCAGAGAGAGCGGAGAGAAACCAGTGAGAGACCAGAGAGAGAGCAGAGAGAGAGAACAGCAATAGAGACCAGAGAGAGCGGAGAGAGAGTGGAGAGAAACCAGTGAGAGACCAGAGAGAGAGCGGAGAGAGAGACCAGAGAGAGGGTGCAGAGAAAGACCAGACAGAGGCCAGTGAGAGAGACCAGAGAAAGGCCAGAGAGAGAGAACAGCAATAGAGACCAGATAGAGACCAGAGAGAGAGGAGAGAGAGCGGAGAGAAACCAGAGAGAAACCACAGAGAGACCAGAGAGAGAGAGCAGAGTGAGACCAGAGAAAGACCAGTGAGAGAGACCAGACAGAGGCCAGTGAGAGAGAACAGCAATAGAGACCAGAGAGAGACCAGAGAGACCGGAGAGAGAGACCAGCAATAGAGACCAGAGAGAGACCAGCAATAGAGACCAGAGAGAGACCAGAGAGACCGGAGAGAGACCAGAGAGACCGGAGAGAGAGACCAGCAATAGAGACCAGAGAGAGACCAGAGAGATCAGAAAAAAGACACCAGAGAGAGAGACCCAAGAGAGGTGCTCTGTTCTGAAAGAGGACTGTGAAATGTCTGCTCTGGAGGTTCTTTATAAATCCAGACTCTTAAATCCAGCTCTTCAAACAATCAAAGACTCTTCTGGCCCTTGTGGAAACCCATGTTCCAGCTTCTTCCCTCTGGCAGAAAACATCGTTCGCTGAGACGCAGGACACCTGGATATGACAGCTATCAATTCTAGGATCCATAAGAGAGAAAAAACTATTCTATTTTGTATCTTACCCATCAGCCATGACATGAAACGTTCTCTGACTATAACAAGCCGGCTTCCATATCATTAACATCAGGACTTGATTTTAATTTTTCTTTGACCTCGTGACTTGTTGAATTAAAAGGGGAACTCTTGTGGTGACACTTACTTCTACTAATCAAGCCGAGAGCTGAGGAAAAGGTGTGGGGGCAGCTAATGGCCCTTTAAATAAAGCCCCAGCGTTCATCGGCTGTGGATAAGTGCCTTCCAGATTACTCCTGGCCAAAAGTGGCCAGGAGTAATCCTTAATTGACTTTAGGACACTGAACTCATGAGGTAATTGTGGCAGGACGCAGCAGAGCCCAGCAGACGTTTCAGATGGTTTTAAGAAATAGCAGCACTTTATTTCATGCACTTGAGACACAACATGAACAATTGTCTGTTTTAAGCTCAATAGGTCTGTGTACTTTTGCTTTCAATACATTTTCTATTTTTGAAGGGAAATGGAAAATCAAAAAAAATTCTATTTTGCATTTTCAGGCACACAGCAATATACAAAAATGACCATTTTGTTTTTTTCATTGCTTATAAGACATATATATATATATATATCCCAAATCCAGCACCCTGAGACTGTACGTAAGCCGTAAAGAAGGAGGCCGAGGACTAGTGAGTGTGAGAGCCACTGTCCAGGACGAAACATCCAAACTCCATAACTACATCATGGAGAAGGCCAAAACGGATGACGTACTCAGTGAATGTCTCAGGCAGTGGCGAGATGAGGAGGTGCTGGAGGAGAGCCCATCATGGGAGAACAAGCCGGCATGTACCACCGGAGCATAACAGAAGTGGCTGATCTCAAGAAGTCCTACCAATGGCTAGAAAGGGCTGGCCTACAGGACAGCACAGAGGCACTCATCATGGCTGCACAGGAACAGGCACTGAGCACCAGAGCGATAGAGGCCCAGATATACCACACCAGACAAGACCCAAGGTGTCGGTTGTGCAAAGAGGCACCTGAGACGATCCAACACATAACTGCAGGGTGCAAGATGCTGGCAGGGAAGGCCTACATGGAACGCCATAACCAAGTGGCTGGCATAGTGTACAGAAACATCTGTGGAGAGTATGGGCTGGAAACCCCAAGGTCTAAGTGGGAAACTCCTCCAAAGGTGGTGGAAAATGAGCGTGCGAAGATCCTGTGGGACTTCCAGATACAGACCGACCGAATGGTAATGGCAAACCAACCTGACATCGTGGTGGTAGACAAAGGGCAGAGGACAGCCGTGGTGGTGGACGTGGCAATTCCAAGCGATGGTAACATCCGGAAAAAAGAACATGAAAAGCTTGAGAAATACCAAGGTCTCAGAGAGGAGCTGGAGAGGGCCTGGAGGGTAAAGGTGACAGTAGTGCCCGTGGTGATCGGTGCACTCGGGGCAGTGACCCCGAAGCTAGAAGAGTGGTTACAGCGGATCCCCGGAACAACCTCGGACATCTCGGTCCAGAAATGTGCAGTGCTAGGAACAGCAAAGATACTGCGCAGAACCCTCAAGCTCCCAGGCCTCTGGTAGAGGACCCGAGCTTAGAGAGGGATAACCGCCCGCGGAGGGCCAAAGGTGAGTGGACAATTTTTGTTTTGTTTTATATATATGCATGATAATAACCGGATTTGGGAACTAGAAAATGCAATAATTAACCTTTTTTAAATATGTATGTAATACATTTCGGCGTCAATCGATTACCCGGAAGTGAAACAAGATGGTTTACTTCAGCCCTATTTGCTCCTGTATTTGTCCAAACACAGACTTTCTGTGATAATACTAATCTTGTGAGAATCTGCATGTCAGTGATTGTGATCGCTAGGGCCGCTTTCTCTTTACTTTCTGCGGTTTTTTTGTCCACAAGCAGAGGAGTCGCGTCGCGGCTGTGTGCACAGCTGCGTAGTAGCGGCTGCTGCTGTCTCTGTGAGGTCTGTGGAGAAGAGCACAGTGTAATGTGTTCTCTGACACTAAATGATCAGACTGATGGGTTGTGTTTGTACGTTTACTTTGCCCTCTATCATAAAACAATACACACGCGTTACTGGAGCCGTTAATATTTGTCGGCTCGCACGTATCTTAGCAGAGTGTGTGGTTCACGAGTAGTCCATACAAACTATTATTAAACATTACAGACAGTATGGGCCAGAGAACTGTAGAGCAGTTTGTCCTCATGTTTGTCCTCTCTGCGGTTGCTGTAATCAGACGCGACTCTCTGGACTGTGTGAAGTGGAGAGACCCGCGCTCGTGCGGTCGTTATGTGAGGTGTCAGTGAAAACAGTATTTTATTGCTTATCTTGTGAATGCACTTCAAAATCTCAGACGTCCTTCACAATTATCACAAATGATCAGGGGTCCACAGGTAATTCTAATCCCGTGCGTTTCACTTCCAGGTAATTGATTGACGCCGAAATGTATTACATACATATTAAAAAAAGGTTAACTATTGCATTTTCTAGTTCCCAAATCCGGTTATTCTAATATATATATGTCTTATAAGCTATGAAAAAAACCAAAATGGTCATTTTTGTATATTGCTGTGTGCCTGAAAATCTCACGCCTGTGATTTTCCATTTCCCTTCAAAAATAGAAAATGTATTGAACGCAAAAGTACACGGACCTCAATATCATGACACTACATTTTTGCAACTTCTCTTGTATTTTTTCATGTCACAACATTGTTCTCTTATTGAAAAAAGTTGATTTGAACTCCAGGTTTGAGCTAATATCCACAACAAACACATGCCCCCTCCCCTTCTGTCTTAAAAAGCTGTTTTCAAACTTGTGATCACCAATGTTTTGAGAGAGACCAGAGACCACCATAGTTCCACCATAGTTCACCATAGTTCACCATAGTTCACCATAGTTACACCATAGTTACACCATAGTTACACCATAGTTCACCATAGTTCACCATAGTTCACCATAGTTCACCATAGTTACACCATAGTTACACCATAGTTACACCATAGTTACACCATAGTTACACCATAGTTCACCATAGTTCACCATAGTACATCCATTTGAGAAAAAAAAGTGAGATGGTTAGTGAGGAAAATGACAAAGTCTGGGATTGTGACGGACAGAAGACATGTTTTATTGTCGATGGTAGAGACGAGACACGAACAAAGATTTTACAGAATGCAAGTGATTTTAAAGCATGGAAGAATGGAGACGCTCTGATCAGCAGCTGCCACGGTGTCAGCAGCTTTGGCCTGTAGAAAAGCAAAACATGAAGTGGAAAAACTTACAGAGACCAGAGAGAGAGACCAGAGAGAGAGAGACCAGAGAGAGAGACAAAAGAGAGAGACCAGAGAGAGAGACCAGAGAGAGAGAGACCAGAGAGAGAGACAAAAGAGAGAGACCAGAGAGAGAGACAAAAGCGAGAGACCAGAGAGAGAGACCAGAGAGAGAGACAAAAGAGAGAGACCAGAGAGAGAGAGACCAGAGAGAGAGACAAAAGAGAGAGACCAGAGAGAGAGACCAGAGAGAAAGACAAGAGAGGGATCAGACAGAAACCAGAGAGAGATCAAAGAGAGAGACCAGAGAGAGACCAGGCAGAGACCAGATAGAGACCAGAGAGAGAACAGAGAGAGACCAAATAGAGACCATAGCGAGACCAGAGAGAGACCAGAGAGAGACCAGAGAGAGACCAGAGAGAGACCAGAGAGTGACCAGAGAGACACCAGATAGAGACCAGAGAGAGACCAGATAGAGACCAGAGAGAGACCAGTAAGAGAGACCAGATAGAGACCAGAGAGAGACCAGATAGAGACCAGAAAGAGAGACCAGATAGAGACCAGAGAGAGACCAGTAAGTGACCAGAGAGTGACCAGAGAGAGACCAGAGAGAGACCAGTAAGAGAGACCAGATAGAGACCAGAGAGAGACCAGATAGAGACCAGAGAGAGACCAGTAAGTGACCAGAGAGTGACCAGAGAGAGACCAGAGAGAGACCAGTAAGAGAGACCAGATAGAGACCAGAGAGAGACCAGATAGAGACCAGAAAGAGAGACCAGATAGAGACCAGAGAGAGACCAGATAGAGACCAG